CCTAAATGAGTTTTGATTGATACCTACTGCACCAATGGGCAGGTTTCCTCCTACTAGGCAGTGACTGGAAAAGTAATTTTTTTTTAAAGATTTTATTTATTTGAGAGAGAGAGAGAGAAAGCACAGATGGAGAGGGAGAAGCAGACTCCCCGCTGAGCAGAGAGCCTGATGTGGGGCTTGATCCCAGGACCCTGAGATCATGACCTGAGCTGAAGGCAGATGCTTAACTGAGCCACCAGGCGCCCCTAGAAATGCTTTTAGATCATCCCTTCTTGGCTTATCAAGAGGTGATAGTTTTGTGTTGTTTTTTGTTTTTTTTTTTTAAGTTACTAAAAAGGTACCTGATTGGTCTCAGTGCAAGTGGTCCGGGGAGGTAGACAAAGAAGGTATCAGACTGGGTTGTTCCAATTTCCTTTGGTCACTGGATATGTCATCTTTCATGAGTAATTTTTTTTTAATCTTCTGAGAACTTCCTGAATCAGGAGAATTTTCCTTGAAGCCTTTTTATGAATGCTTTGGGTTGGCTTCCTTGGGTCTCTTTACTGACACTGGCTCCCATCTCCTGCTTCAGACTTTGAGGATAAAGATCATGACTGGGAGCCTCTTCAGCAATCTGTCCTTGAGTTGTTGGAGCACCTTGTTCAGCCTTCTGGAGAACAGGCAGAGCCGGGCAATTTGTGTTTTTCTTGGGTGGTCTCTAACCAAAGACTGTCTGATGCAGGGCTCTAGAGGCCCAGATCCCTTGGTTAGAAACAGGAGCTCCCAGGCTATGGGGCTAAGGCTAGGACTTTTCCTAACTGACCTTTATTTCTCTTCTTGATCTTGCTTCCTGCATCCCTTACTGGTCTCTCCCAGGAGCACTTTATGAATACATCACTTGGCTAAGTGTCAGCTTCTTTGAGAGCCCAATTTGAGACAGACCTTTTCTCCTGAATTCAAAAGACCCTAGAATCAAATATGGATACTCCTATCTAGATGATAGAGGGAAACGTTGACCCCTCCCTGAGATTTTACAGAAAGAATATTAGCAACGTTTATGTGTTCTATTCTTTGCACAGTTGTAGACATATGTCCTGAAGAGGGTCATAAAGGATATTTTCAGCAATGTAAAATGCAGGACTAAATGGGCAGAAAATCCAAGAAATAAATGCAGCCATGCGATGAATGCCTGGGTTCCAGGTGCTGTGCAAGGCGCTCATGTATCAGCTCCTTTCATCCCCGTGATTAACCGAGGAGGTCAGTCAAGCCCCCATTGTAAAGATGGGGAAACTGAGGCATAGAACATTTCAGTAATTTGCATGATCATACAGCTAACTGGCTCGCCCCACCTCAGAAACAAGAATATCCCAAGATTGGGGGAGCTTCCAAGCCCCATCTTGTACCTTTGGAATAGTTGAAGATTGACAACTAGGAGCAAATTCCATCCCCCACAAATTGCCACTTAACACAGGCCAGACTTCCTGGGAGCTGAATATGACCCGAGACAAGGGCATTGTCCCCACGAGAGCGAAAAGGAGACTGTTTTCCTGCTTCTTGCCTTGCCATCTTCCCTGGTAAACATGGGGTGGGCAGGGGTGGGGGTGAAGGTGGGGACTGTCATTCACTGTTGCGCTGAGAACAAAGCATGGCTGACATTGCGGGGAGAGCCCCGGGAAGCATTTCAAAGCTCCACTGGAACTAGACAACCTTTCAATCCATTTATCAAAGTGTCTGCAGTTCCCGTTTCAAGGTAGATGAAGCAATAATAAATTTGTGAAGAAAGTTAATCTGTGTCCAAAGCATTTTAGTAAATTAAAAAGGGGGGGGCTGGCTGGAAGGGGGATATATTGGTTCTTGCCAACTCCTATTTGACTTACTGTCTCCTTAATAAGTCCTCTTTGGTCTTGTGTTTTTGGATGGAATAATCCATCGGTTAATCATTTTCTGGAAGCAGAAAAATGCACTTTAGCTAATGCAGTTCTCCTTTCTTTCAGAGTCCTAATTCTTTAAAAAGGCACCCCAATCCGTAGTCCTACTTCCCAACCAAGAAAACGTTTCCCAACAGCCGTCTTCCTTTATGTCCCCCAGAAAATCTCAGCATGCCCCTTATCCTCTCACCATGCTCCAGCCTTGTCCTTTTCCCTGGTTCCTTCTGAGCATTTTCCCTCAGGAGGGGCAAGGCACTAAACCCCCAGCAAGCAATTGGCCGGAACCAGGCTCTTGGGCACTACGGATAGATTTTGTTATTTTTATTTAAATGTCAGCTGAAAATGGTGGCTCTTGTCTCTCTCAAGGGTAGTGCTTAGCACTAGCTCCATGCTCTGGCATCATGCTGAGATAAACACGCTATTAGGAGCCTTCACAAAGGCCTCGAGATAATTGTGAAGGGACAGTTACCGAAAATGAAGCACCCAGCCCTGAACCCTCCTCCACGCCCCATCAGTAACACCATTAAAGCTGTCAGTTTGTCAGCCCACTGGAGGTATTTATGAAATCAATATACAATCCTGCAGATGGATGGCAGTGGTATTGTTAGCTGGAGAACAGAGGCTCAATGGAAAATAAAACTAATAAAATTTACAAGCGGATTGTCATGGGGAACAGATAAATTCCCTACAATCCACTGTTTTGCTCAGTTGCGGCAGAAGCAAAGCCATGGCAGGGAGGAGGAAAGAAAGCTGTGCTTTAAACTGGGTCCCTTCAACTAGGAGCAAAACTGGGTCTACTTCCAGCAACGAAATAGTGACAGGAAACCCAAGTGGCTGCCCGGTGCCATTGCAGGGTTTTTCCCATGTGATTGCTTCTGTGGGACGTTTCCCAGCAGCTGGGCCAGATTTTTCTGCTAAAATGCTACTCTCCTCTCATCCCACCATATCACAAGCCCGAACTGTCATGCGATGGTTATTTCTTCAGTATGTTTGGGGTACCTTAAACTCCAAGGGTTAACGCACTACTAGAGGACGTGCCCCTTCTCCTGGCTCCCAGGCATGGTTATAGCTGACTCGTCCAAACCTCTCTCCTGTTTGCTACCCTGCCCCTGATTCTGATCACCAGCCGTTGGCCAGAAGTGTGGCCTGACCCGTTTCCCAGAGTGGCCAAAGATAGCAGCCAAGCCTGGGAGGGTAGTGGGTAGGGGCTTGCTGTCCTGGAGACCAGCCTTTGCTTGGCAGAAAAGACTAGGCCCATTGTGGTGGCTGGAGCCTTGGGTACAGCCCAGATGCCTGGTGGAAATTGCATTAGTCAGATGACAGGACCTGCTCCCTCTTCTCCTGCAGTCTGATGGAGAGCAGAGGAGTGACCTTGGTGACCCTGCCTGACCTCTACTGTCACTGTGGGCTTTGTTCAGTGCCCCGACTCCAGGCTGGAGCCCTGCTCATTGAATCAGGCCCAGCCGGGGGAGCCTACTATGGGGCTCCTTGTGCATCTAAATTTATTTATACCAGTTGCAGACAGAGGAAACTGGATTTGAGATGGGGAACACCGTGTTATTGAGCCCCAGAAGCCACCGGTCGTCGTATCTACACCCGACCCCAACTCCGAGCCTTGCCTTGGGGCTTAACCATGGCCCCAGACAATCCCCAAGGGTCTAAAGTTCCGACCAGCTGCTCGGAGTGTGGCTTAACTCGTCTCCGCAGGTGAGAACAGGAAAGGGACGCCTCTCTTCTGCTTTCTGTTTTTCCTCCTGCTCCTTCACACAAGGTTAACTTAGACAGCCTAAGTTTTCATGGAGGATGATTGTCTGACCTCTCTTCCCAAATATATTTGGAGTCCTCTTTAGCTTTTGATTAGGTTCCTGTGGAAAATCAGTGTGGGAGAGTATCCATTAGTACAATCTGCCTCTGGGACAACTTGGCCGTTAAGGACGTTTACCCTGTGACCCAGCATGTTCTCCTTATAGGACTTTATACCAAGGAAGTAGCTCAACAATTTAAACGCGTAGGGAGGAAACCTCATCCTAGTGTTTCCTTAAATGACAAATACCCCACAGTGCGGGATCCTATAGCCCTGTATACAATTGGATATATACAGTGATTGAAAATGTTGCCATACATGTACGTTAATGACATGAACAGATGTTCTCAATATAATAAGTGAAAAAAAGGGTTTATGACTGACTATATACTATGAGATCATGTTGGTGAAATTTATACATATTGCTCCTAATTTGTAACAGGGTTATGGTCTGGGTAGGTAATTTTTTACCTTAATATCTAATGGTTTTTGTGTTATTTTCACAATAATTGAGATCTATATCTGTATCTATAGATGTATATACATACGATTGATGTGTGTGTGTGTGTGTGTGTGTGTGTGTAGACACGCACAGGTGTGATTGATTACTCACTGAGATTCCAAGCAAGCTTGAGGTATGAATGTAAACAAGTGCATGTGTTTGGTTTGAGTGGGGGGATGGGGGGAAGGAAACAGAAAAAAAAAAAAAACACATGGGTCTTAGGAAAGGAAACTGAGGCTTTGGGGATTGTTAAAGAGGACCTGGCACAAGACCTGGGTTTGAGCTGCCTTCAGCACCTGACACTTTGTCCCTTAACTTTCTTCCTCAAAACAACACGTTAGCACTGCTTAATGCTAGATGAGCTGCCAGTAGGACCCCCATTTTGGGCGGGTTTGTAGAGATGCAATTTGAAGTTATCATGCCTGTCACTAAGCTCGATCCAGGAGGCCCCCGGGGGGTGTCTGGTGCTCTGGAATAAATGGAGATGGACACCCCCCCCATCAGAAAATCAGGATGGCTAGGATCCCTTCCAATCCCAGATGACAAAGGCAGAGAATCCCTGAGAGTGGGAGACTGAGTGCTGTTGACCCTGCAGTGAGGGAAGGACGGCAAGGGGGGAGGGGGCAAGGGGTCTCTCTGGGAGATGGCAAAACAGAGAATTGGGTGCGATGTGCACAACAAATAACCCAGCGTCTTGGCTCGTGGCCTGGAGGTGCGAGACCACCCACAGAGCCCGCCCTGGAGGCGAGCTGCTCCCGCCTGGTAACCATTCCAGCAAAGGCCATCACTGGAGGAACAATGTAAAGGCTTGTAGCAGCCTGGGGCCTGAGACTGAAGAGTCCCTCCAACACTCCTGACCGCAGAGGCAGCCTGCGAGGGTTTTGTTGTCATAATGAGATGCAGATAAAGCCGGGCCTTGGTCCTTAATGCGTGTGCCTCTTCTCTTCCTGTTTAGAGATCTGAGCGAAAACCAGATCCTGGGGATCCCGAGGAAGGCGTTCCGTGGCATCGGCAACGTGAAGAACTTGTAAGTGTTGGGTTTTTTTTTTTTTTTTTTTTGGCTTCTCTGCAGATGTGGCTTTCTGGCCAGAACAGGGGTGAGAGATGGGACAGGAAGGTGGTGTCCCCATGCTGTTTGCTGCCTCGGTGCAGGCGCCTTTGAGACAGAGTGAGGGATGTGCCTGAGGGGTCTGCAGGGAACACATGTCGGAAGCCATGACAGCTCCATGGAGTCCTGTTGCTGTCTGGTGTTTCGGCCCCAAGTGTGAGCATTAGAGTCCCAGACCTGGGCCACAGCCTGGCCCCACAGTAGCTCTGTGGCCTGGGGCTTGACTCAGCTACTCCCAGGGTCGTTATTTTCTATAAAATGGGCATGATGGGCTGGTGGGGTGTTGACAGAGATGAGGACGCGTTCCTCATACGTAGTAAGTGTTCAATAAATGGGAGCCTTGATGATGGGGGTGATGATCATGATGGCGAAGGCGTCACTGTTATTAATAGGATCTTGTGAGAGGGCCTGGCCACTGGTTATTCCAGGATTGCAGGGGGACGTAGCCACATCCACCCACTGCACTAGCTGCTTGGTTTTGGAGGTATGTTTAATTTTATTTTGAAGTAATTATTCATTCACAGGAAGTTTCAAAAATAGTAGTTACGTCCATGTGCCCTTTTACCCCAGTTTCCTCCCAGTGGTAACATGTTACATAACTAGTATGGTATCAAAACTGCCATGGGTGCAATCCACGGACGTTATTCTTCAGATTTCGGATCACTACACATGCTCATTTGTGTGTGTGTGCCTGCCCGTGTGGTTCTGTGTAATTTTATCCCATGCAGATTCCTGTGCCCATTGATATGATCAATGCAGAACTAGTCCATCACTATGTTTCTTAACTTGCCAAATAATCTTTGTCGTTGTTAACCTGGCCTCCACTATTTGCTGTTTAGCAGTGACTCCTGGGCCCTTACTTTCACAAGGACTGTGCCTTCTGAATTCTCTCCCCTGCCACCGTGTCCATGTGTTCAGAGCGTGTATTGGGAGAAGGGCACAGAAGAGAGTCTGGTTTGCCTGGGCAGGCGTTTCTGTCCACTGGCCTCCTCCACAGGCTCACACTCAACCTGAGAAGTCTTGAAGGAGGTTTCTTTAAAATTACTTTAGCTGTTGGTTTTCTTTATAAGGACTGTCCTGGGAAGCTGATGATGGCTTCCAGTTACAGGCTGTCTGCTTCCCCCAGTGCTGAGAACTTAGCAGGAAGCTTTTGCTGTTTAACATGCAAAGCACACAAGAGGGCAGAGGCATCTCAAGGCGAAGGAAGCCTAGGGCAGAGAGGACTTTGCAAGGGGATCCCACACAGGAAGCTGCCCACTGCTTCGTCTGGGTGTGTTTGCTCAGAAGCAGGAGAGGGCAGGCTGGAGCAGACAAAGCCATGGAGAATGTGACTCAAGATTGTGCATATAAGCCAAAACTATGAGGCTGTGTTAATTAGCATCCCAGAAAGGCAAGGCAAGAGGGGGACTTAGAGATCCTCTAAAACCCCCACCGGTCAATAGTGAGAAAATTGAGGACAGGACCAGAGAAGTGCAGTGACTAACTCAAGGTCAACCAGTTTCTTAATCCGGCTGATCCCCAGATTAACATTTTACGTATATAAAGTGGTTTATCTGTCCTATCTCATGGCTCTAATTTTAAATGGGCCAGTTAACAACAACAACAACAAAACACTTCCGTGATGTATAAGCAGGGCTGTGTAATTACCAACTGCAGTTTTGGTTCTCAAGAAAGTGATTAAATCTCACAGTGGTCCACAGTAGTTGCTGAATTGGGGGGGTGGGGGTTGTTTTCCTGTAATACCTCTAACTTCACAAAGGCCTCAGGAGCTCAGAGATTCAAGATTCTGCAAACACAGACTCCTGAGTCACTCAGGAATAACTGTCAGGCCTTCCTTCTCCAGGTCTTGCAAATAGGTGTGACTCAAAGGCCTGAACTCAGGGAGGATCTTCTCTTTTGTTTTTCATACCCAGTGTCAGCATGTGGTCCTGGGGCGAGAGGAGAGGGAAGTAAATCCTCTGCTGAAAGGACGAATTAGCCAACAGAACTTAAGGGGGGTTGATTACTTCACACTTTGAATCAGTTCTTTCAGCATGCATTTGTTGGGCAGAACCTATGAGGCCGAGGTATTATTCGCGTTCTCTGCTGGCTTCCGGTAAAACTAGGGACAAGAAACACATGCGTACAGGAGAATGTTTAGTGATTTAACAATCCACATGAAGGGGCGCCTGCGTGGCTCAGTCGTTAAGCGTCTGCCTTCGGCTCAGGTCATGATCCCAGGGTCGTGGGATAGAGCCCCAAGTCGGCCTCCCTGCTCAGCCGGAAGCCTGCTTCTCCCTCTCCCACTCCCCCTGCTTGTGTTCCCTCTCTCACTGTGTCTCTCTCTGTCAAATAAATAAATAAA